CCAATCTAACACCCTTTTGACTCCATTGGCGAATCCAGAAAATTGGCATCATTGCTTTTCTCCATTTGAACCTATGGAAATGTATCGAATCTTGGAGGAGCCAGGTGCTCTGACAAGAATCGATTATTTAACATAGGTTTAAACGGAGGATACCTGGCTTTGATGAGTATGTTGGCACCGACCCACATCGATGAGTTCGTGCGTCCCAATTGCGCACATCTGCGCATGCACAGTAGCGACTCCAGTGAATTTTTGTTGGATTGTGAGGCTTTTTTTCTCGGTTGATAATCAGTTCGGAAAAATGAAAAATTGCTATTCAGTTGTAAAATTATATGTTCTAAAACTTTTCTACTTCGGAGTGGAGATGTTGCATGTGTGAGAAATTTGCAATTTGACTGTTGGTTTTTATGTAAAAGTTCGCGAGAAACACGATGGTGCCATTGGTTTTCCCTGAAATCAACTCTCAAGCTCAAAAAAAGCTCTCAAGTTGAGGCCAAAATGGAGGGGATATCCCACCCTACCCTGAGAGTCCACCTCTACATCAAGACAAACTCTCCATGCAAAGATAGGGAGAAAATACATTGGCAGGGCTGTCACTTTGTTTGGGGACTCTAAAACTGCAAACACGGTAACCCTGCTAATGTATTTGCTCTTTATGTTTGCATGGAGAGTTTGTATTGATGTAGAGGTGGACTCTCAGGATAGCGTGGGATATCCCCTCCATTTTGGCCTCAACTTGAGAGCTTTTTTGAGCTTGGGAGTTGATTTCAGGGAAAACCAGTGGCATCATCGTGTTTCTCGCGAACTTTTACACAAGAATCAGTAGTCAAATCGCAAATTCCTCACACATACAACATCTCCATTGTGTCTGAAAATGGACTCTAAACGAGATATTCGTGAAAGACCGAGCAAGCGAATGGATTCTCCATTGCCTCTCTGGAGTCTCTTCGAGTGCTTGGGACACACGCTCTCTCCCCTTCCCCGCCCGCCCATCTTAGGGCTCCAAGAGACTTGTCTCGCTTCGCCTGTACGAAACTTAGCCAGACGCACGGTCTAAGTGATTCAATGTCTTTGATATGACCCTAATGTAGCTCCAAGCTTAAGGTGATCCGATGGACGCCATATTTGGTATAAGAACGGCATGCGATATATCGCATCAATTGGTTCCATTTTTTTAGCTACTCGTCATTTTTCTTCAATTTTGAGATCGCAATTCTGTTGTCAGGAGACTAAAGCACTCACTTACCAATTTTAACAAAGAAATTCAACATACTAAAGGCGTGGTTTTTTTAGAGAGAAAACATCGCATTCGACACTGATATCGAAACTGCACTCGAATGCGATATTTTCTCTCTAAAAAGATCACGCATTTATTACATTGAATTTCTTTGTTAAAATTGGTAAGTGAGTGCTTTAATCTCCTAGCAACAGAATCGCGATCTCAATATTGGAGAAAAATGACGAGTGGCTAAAAAATGGAACCAATTGATGCGATATATCGCATGCCGTTCTGACACAAAATATGGCGTCCAACGAATCACCTTAATCATCACTTTCGGGTTCTATCGCTCAATATCCAGTGGGTCGATCGATTATTGAGTCGTTATCGAATAACTTTAACCGATGAATCCCTATTGTATCAATGCAATATATCGACATCGATTTAAAGCCAGCCCGCAGGACGTAATATAGTCCCTCTGTCTCTCCGCGGTGAGCCACGCTACATAATGAAAACCACGAGTCTCGCCAGGACATTGACAGTCGTGTAAATCATGTGGACCAATATTTCAATGTTGCCTGGAGGAAGCTTACTCCTGCCTGAGCCAAGCCACAGCCGCGAACCGGAACGGCTTAGCCTGAGATCAAGTCGACGTGACCGAACTCGATAGCGCTGCCGTGCTAAGGAAGAACGCCCTATGAGTCTTCAGACGTTGCCATATTTTCTTCAATAAGAACCTTATTTACTGGAAAAATTGTGAATATTTTTCCTCGATTTTTAAGATAATTTTTTTCGCAATTTCTTATAAAATGTCTGAAAATTTCAAAGAAAAATACGCATAATTTTCTTCAAAAATACATGTTTTATCCGGGGCAATCTGGCAACTCACGAATGTTCATACAGCGTTCTTCCTTAGCATGACAGAGCGGGAGTAGTGCGTTCATCTTCGACACGGTCTTTAATCAACGTCCTGCCTTACTTGACGACAAATTTTTGTGCAGTTGATTTTGAAGCATTGAGAAGAAAGAAGAGGCGGTCGCATTTACGGCACGCATTTATTGCATTTATCATTTTCAAGGATAATAAAATCCTTGAAAATGATATAGTTTATGGAAAGAAGTCGTCTAATATAAGGATTGGGTGCTATTAAAACCCTCAAATTAAACCAGTAAAATTTTTTTATTGAGATAACTAATCATCCTAATCAAAATGTCAACATGACAGTGTTGAAATTGTATTTTGAGTTGGACTCAGCAAAAATTAGACGTTAAGGTCCAATTTTCGTACTTCAAATTTTGGATTTTGCTGGAATATCGACGCCCTATTGCACTTACCTACGGTCGCGGGGTGAACTAATCCTCAAAGTGTGACCACCTCTTTTTTTCTCTGTGATTTTGAAGTATCCAAAGACAGTAGTATTTATTGACTATGAAGATGTACAGAAGTACACACCTCAGTTTGCAACATTGGAGACTTTCTGTCATGCCTGTCAAGCAATTTTCAAAGTCATTTCTGCTTAATTCCCAGGATTTTTTTTTCTGATTGTGAAGAATATTTGGCTAAATTGTCAAGCATTTATTGTTGTTTTTTTTCTTTTTTAATGGAATAAATTGGGAATGGAGATTTCAAAACACTAGCTGCAAATGAAATACGCGTTTTTGCAGATTCACCATTTGGAGGGCAGGACATCGTCATGAACTTGGTGCAATTATATAAAATTAACGGCCTTGCATTTAGAGTGACCTACAAATGAGGAAGAAGCAGAAATAGTACGCCAGCTAAAAAACGGGACGAATGTTTCTCGCCAATTGCAATACTCGCAACTTACTTGCAGCTCCTACACATAGTGACGTTGCAAACTTTCTGAGATACTTTCTTTTTTGGAACGGAAAAATACTCAAGATCCTTTCTTGAAAATTTTCTGGATTTTTTTTCTCTCTATGTGAAGAATATTTTGTCATAATTTCAAACAATTGGGTTGGATTATTCGTTTTTGATAAAATAAAATATACTACCAACCTCCTTTGTCCATTGCAACGACCACCCGCTTCCACCAATAGGATCAATCCATATCCCTCCTATCTCCTTTGTCAATCGCTTTGTCTATCAATTTCAACAATCAAGTTGCAGGGAAAATTTTGCAAAATATGAATGTTCATACGGCGTTTTTCCTTAGTATGTCGAGAGTTCCGTGCTGTGTTCGAAACGCTTCCAGGACTTTATGTCCACCTACCTTTCGTCCATTGAATAAATGTCCACCGCTATTTATGTCCACTAAACGTTAAGTCCAGTCTTTATTAAGTCCTCATGATTTAATGTCCAACCATGAATACGTCCAAAATTGTCCAAATTGTGGACATGTTATGTCCACATTTTTTTCTTCTCGTTTAAATCACAGGAGCTACTTCAAAAATAAATGCATACTACTACTACCTTCATTCTTAAAAACATTTCATTCATGAATCAAGTCATGAAAAAGAACAGACTCTAAGAGCAGATAAAAACATATGTACACTGTACGGAAATGATAAGATAAAAACCAAAGCGGGAGCCTAGGTTCGCTCCAATGCCAAATTAAACATTTTTCAGTAACAGATGCAGTCAAAATTAAAGTCCTCTTTAACTAGTTATTTCGTGCGCCTTCAATCTTGTAGGATACTATGCAACGCCTCTGACGCGAAATAGTTTCTTAAAGCGTTGCGGCGCGGCAGGCAACCAGCGTGACACGCGCATAGGCGCCTACAAACCTAACGGGATACTTCACGCGTTGCGTAATGCGTGAAGTATCCAGTTAGGTTTGTAGGCGCCAGTGCGCGTTCTGCACTGCTAACACGCCGCTCCGCTCTGTGTTAGGCTCTAATATTTAAACTCGCGGAGTCAGCGTTTTTTAACTCATAATTTTGAAATGTTTGAAAACTCTGCATGAATTATTCTTTTTTAAATTGATGAAAAAGAATAAGCCATTGAAGATTCACAAGACAAATTGACTTTTCGCCTACATATTACGGCGTATTTAGTATGAAGTTAGACGCAAGATGTTTTCTTAACAGAACTAGTAAGTAGCTGTAACCTGGGGAAGTCAAAAGCACTAAGAATGAAATCGTGTAGAATAAAAAAAACAAGCTTTCACTTGTAGTGCTGAAAATTCTGAGTGTTTTCAATTCAAATAGATTTGTTTTTCTTTCTTCATGTGACTTTCTGTGAAAATCCAGATTTTTAGGGGGCAATTTTTAGGGGCCACGTTGGCGCAGAGCCTTCATTTTTTTGGCGCCATGGCCGATTTTTTAGGCGCATTTGGCGCCTTGGCGCCTGTCAGTTTCTAACACTGGTTCCGGGTATTTTTTTCTGTCTCTCTCTCAGATCTGAAACTCCGAAAGTCCATCAGGCCTTCACCGATGCCTCCGCGAATAAAGTTAGGGCCCAAAAGGGCAGCCAACCTATGAATTTCAATTATCCAGAGCGATTTACTGATACTATTGTTACGAACCGTCCTTTATTAAGCACGTGTTTGACTCAGTTTTTGCATAAATTTACTCAATTTCGCGGAAGAACGCTCATTTCTGTACATTCTTGGCCATCTTGGTTCGAATTGGAACCTGCAGACTGGCAGTGAAATTTTGTGCGTTAGAAGTTGGTTAGAAGGGTGGCTGCACTTTTGGGCCCCAAGCCCTCCATGAACCGATCCGTCGGTACTCTCCCTTTACAAGTACTCTAGCTTTTTCTCATGTTGTGTTAATAAGACCTTTTGATTTGAGGGAAAATTTCGATTTTTCGTTTGCAGATGCGATGTGTGTGGTTGAGACGGTGCGGGCGTGGCTGTTGTCGGCGCTGGTGGTGCACGTGGCCGTAGCTGGGAACCCGGACGCCAAGCGCCTCTACGACGACCTCCTCTCCAACTACAACAAGTTGGTACGACCCGTCGTCAACACCACCGATGTCCTCCGCGTTTGCATCAAGCTCAAGCTCTCCCAGCTCATCGATGTGGTAAGCACTCCAACCCTCCTGAAATTGGTAATAGGACAAAATGTCCAAAAATAAAAGTCCAAAATACAAAAATGTCCGAAGTCAAGAAAGTCTACATTAAAACATGGGCTTAGATTCACCCCCCCCCCCCCCCCCCCCCCCC